CCTAACTCCACCCAACCCTTGACCCGCTCAAATTTAAATATATCTCTCAGCCTTACATGCAGTTGTTTTCATATGTCACAGGATCTGGTGAACAGGTGCCGCCATTTTTACAATAATCGGCTGGACATAAATCTAGAACAAAAAACACACATAAAAGAGACACATTCAATGCTTTTTCTCCATGAGTTGACACAACGGTTTCAGAACTTTTGAGGAGACGGTGAAGGAGATGTAGTTCTCATTGGCTTTCGAGAGCAAATCATGATCATTAAAACTACTCCTGCCTGTTTACATGTGCAGTAAACAGACCGCAGCTTCATCTCAACCTGTGAAAACTCACAATTTTGAAACACAATGACTATCGTCTGGCAATGTATTACTTACTACTAGCAACAGACAGGGACGACAGCCTAATATAGAGGGCGCTGCTTGCAATCTCGCCGTCTGCAGCAATACTCGCTCTCATCTGGTTAGAAACCACATCTACGGTCACGTTGGTGTCCTCAGTGAAGACAAGGACGTATTGGACCCTGATGCTACCACTGGACATGCTAACAACACGAGATTCGATGTAGGAGCTCTCGTCTGCAAAGATACTGTCCAGCTACAGTGGAAATAATAAAAGTTAATATTAAAAGTATGGGGTTACAAATGTCAAATTCATTTTGGTAGAAGAGGTTACTGAAAAACTGAGAAAATTTGGGCTTAACCAATCTGTGGCTGAGAGGCTGATGAACTTTTTAGGACAAGATTTCAGGAAGTTGTGTCAAGTTTTGTTATCTTGTATATTTTTAACATTTTTATTATAATATTTTTGATATTCCTAGAGTGAATTGTTTGGGAGAGGCATGGATTTATTCGATTTTCATTTCTTAAGACATTTTATTCAGATATTCTGATATTTTCTGAGCAGACGTTTCAGCAAATTACGACTGAAATCTCAATAATATCATTTCCTTCCACTGTGTAAAAACTGAAGGAATTCATAAAGAACTCTGTCTTACCACACCAATGACATCTCCAGCTATTCTCTGGTATTGGTCCGATGTTGGGTCTTCAAGATCCCGGGTAAATATAGCCTCTGAGCTACCAATGCGCGTGATGGCAAATGACCCCCTGAACTCCGATGTGGCTGTATAATAAATTAAGGTGGAAAATCGTTGGAAAAATGAATATCCAACGGAGGAGATCCATTCTACTGATGCAAAGAGAGACTGAGGGATTCAACAGCAGAATCCTACAAATATCCAATGGCATCATTAATAGGAAAATCACTCCAGAAGGTCAGATCTTTGAGAACAGATCACAATTAGACAATTGTTTATTGCATGACACTTGGCCATCAAGCACATGCTCACCTCTGCAGGTGTCTCCAACAAGAAAGAAGCCGGCTTGACATCCACACAAGTAGCTTCCTTGCAAGTTGATACAGATGCGGTCAGCAGCACACGGGTTGTTTTCCACACATTCATTGATGTCTAGCAATGCGATAAAAAAAATTTAACTCAGAGGATTCTGATTGGGAAAAAACCTGAGAGAGCAAATTTTGCCTGTCTACACTGCCTCCCTCATGTGTGCCTTCACGGTGATCAAAACTTAGTAATGCTGACTAGCTGTTGACGCCAAGGTTATGCATACCTGTCTCACAGTAGTCTCCTGTCCAGAATAACGTACACATGCAAACGAAGGAGTTTTCTTGCGGGACACAACTGCCTCCATTCTGACAAGATGTCTGCTGACATGTGGTCAAACCTGATGGATTGGATGAAAATAAGATTATACCGAATTCATTCAGGAGTCATTGATTGTCATTCAGCACTTGGGTTGAAAATGAAGCTTGCTGGCTGGCCTATTGTTTTAATCCATTATACGGCAACTTTGAAGTTATGATTATGAAAAAAGGCTTAGAAAAACTTTCGCCTTTGTAAGACCTTTTTCCAGTCAAAACCAGTCACTTGCTGTCCATTTTTATCGTTATCTTATCTAAAAAAGAATCTGCTGTGTTACGCATTGAATGTATTAACAAAGTGTGCAAAAACAGTATGGCGATTCTTGGTTTATAATGAC